AAAGACATACATATAAAATGTTGCTTAAAATTTATATAATAATATCTTCCAAATCGAATTTCGGTCACGGCGGTCAGTCTCAACGGATTCGAATTCAATCCGGATCTCTGTCAGCAAATTTATCAAGTTTTGGGTTAGAAATTTGTTAAAAGTTGTAAAACCAATTATTGGTTTTCGGATCAGAATGTATTATTAGTCCCTGTGAATAATGTTATGCTTTATTTTTATGTTATCATGTAAACGTTAAAGTGGATACAGTTAAATTACCACTTTCCTACTATAGTCTAAAATATGTATGTATCTATCGGAGTAATTCAGATCGAATAGTTTATTTAAGAGGGTAAATCCTCGGTCTGTCGATTACCATGAATCATTAATCGATATTTTAGTCAATTATTAAGACGCCGACGATGAGAAAACTTTTGTTCGATTCTCGTGTACTGTTCCTATACGTCAAAGCTCTGTACTGGCGTAAACAATACAACTTGCATCAATTACGAGTATGTACTGTAACAAATTTTATAAAAATAGCTAATCATTTCTAATAACACGTGGAAGAGTCACGCTGACGCTATATTATGGATGCAGCATGAATAGGTCGGCTCGACCGAGGAAAGACCACGCTTACAGCTGCTGTTTCGTATGGTGAGTTTAGAGAACCGTAGACCCTTTTTACTGACATAGATGGAATACCTCGTTCCTCAGAGGTGACAACGTGCATATTGATTTATAATCTAGAATAGATGTTTATGAGCCACAGCATCCACTCAACATCAGTGTATGCTTGTTTGTCACCCTTATTCTATAAAAAAATATCGTTAGTTATTCTTTACGGCAATTTTATAGGAAATTCTATTAAGAATTTATTAATAAAATATCCTACGTATATAGTTCAAAACACGCATCTATTTTCTATAGTGACTCAATCTTTCTAAAGCATCCCAGCTTAAATAATTAAGCCCAGAAAATTCACATTATTCATTAATTATATGTCACTGAAGTAAAGATTTGCTGGCTTGGTCGTCTTGAACTATAGTAGGGGCACAGCCTAAGAAGAATATACAGATAGTCATCGCGTTTGATGTTGTCGGAAAAGCCGACATAAACAACAAATTGCAAGGGTTGTCAGGACGAGGAGTAAAAAAAAAATAAAAAAAACACTGATTTTATTTTATTTCACGTTTAAACAAATTAATGTGTATGTGGAAACTGATGAAACTAATTCCTTATCTTTAAATGAGGACGACCAACAGTTTTTTACCACACATGTAGTGAACCATTTTAATTTATTTGCGTGACAGAACAACCCTAGCGGACAGTTCCCGAGCTACTAACAGCCGCTCGGGAACTTTCCACCCGCGTCTCGCTCCGCACCGCACTGCAACTACTGTGATGAACCACACTTAACACAAGCATTATTAAGCTAATTTAAAGCTAAGCTTTAAAGTTACTAGTAAGTAATTTTTTTTATTAATTACCTACGGAACAAGATGGAAAAACTTATGGTAAGAAAATTATAATTATAGATAATATCAGTTTTAAAAACTAAAATATTTTAGTTTAATAAACAACCATAAATAGATAATACAGTAATAATATGAGAAGTAGTAACAGAGATAACGAAGTGATATTAAATAAAAATGCCTGTCATACTCGCTATAAGTAATCTCTGTATATTACTCGTAAAATCAAATGCTGTCCTAGTCTCGCTAAACTCGAAAACTGCTGGAAAGATTTTTGTGAAATAATTTGTGTGCGTTTGGGTGGATCCCTGGATGGTTTATATTTACAAATGGACCCGGTAGGTGGCGTTGTTGTTGAGATCCAGAAATCACCCGTGCGAAGCCGGGGCGGATCGCTAGTATTCAATAATTACTTATTTATTACGGGCCAGAGGTGATAAAATTTAACAAACGTATGTTTTCAACCGACTTCAGAGAGAAGGCTCTAAAATATGTTTTTTGTATATAAGTTTCGTGATACGCTTGTTACATGATATCTTCGTTAATTGTCGACCGAATTTGGATGTATTTAAAAAAAAATCACCCCTGAGGATGGAACAATAGGGGATGAAGTTTTTGATAAAACTATTAAGACGACTTTCTAATTAGTTAGACCTTAGTCCACTCAAAAGGTTGACCCTTTAGTAAAAAATAGAATCGATTGACTACATTCGTACTCAAAATTTAATTTGTTTTTATATTAAACTAGCTGGCTCGGCAGCCATTTTTCTACCCTCCGAATTCACGTGTTGTAAATATAAAATGTATTAATAATTCGCCTAAAATCTCTCGACTTCGCTCTTTTTTGACTCTAAACCATTATATACGAGTCATTTTGACCGTATATATGGAATTAGTTAACTAATTGACTACAGCGCCACCTATAAGATCCAGGTATAACTAAGAACCATCGTCCTGACAAAACAAATCAGAAGTTACATGATGACTAATAGAAGCATCAACGAATATTATTGATTTATACACATCAGCAGCTCTGCTGCATGGCGGCAAAAGATGAGAGAGTGCTACCAACACCAAACGGACTCTTAGATAGATAATTTAAAATTAAAAATTTTGCACAACCGACTTCAATATGAATTATTATGAATAACTCAAAGACTATTGGTCAGACCTTGATTAAATTTATATGGGACCACATGTGAAGCACTAGCTTCCAAATAAAAAAAGAATCATCGAAATCGGTTCACCCAGTCAAAAGTTATGAGGTAACACACATAAAAAAACATACAGTCGAATAGAGTACCGGCTTCTTTTTGAAGTCGGTAGAAAAGGGACCTAACCATGTAGATGTAGCTACTAAATAATAAAATAATACTTTACGAATAACTTTAAATCATCATTTTCTTGTTCTTATCCCAATTTTTTTATAGGATAGGGTAACAAACGAGCACACAGTCCACCTGATGGTAAGTGGTTGCTGTGATCCATAGACATCCACATCTATCCTAGATTACGAAACAAAATGCCGATGCGTTATCACCAGTGAGGACTAAGATGGAAAGCTTCTTTTCAAGAAAAATGGATCTCCGGTTCTCTACACTCACCATCCGACACAACAGTGTTAAGCTGCTATTTTACGCTGGTATTCTGTGAGAGCGTGGTCCTTCCCCGGTCGAGCCGACGTATTCGTGCTACAACTATACTACGAATATAGCTTGCCTCTACCATGTGTTGGGTCGGTATAATATGTCTTCTTATTCCATTCTGCTCTGTAAGCCTTTATTTCAGCACTCTCTTTTATTACGTCCTTCACTCTTTCCACTCATCTTTTCTTAGGCTTCTCTCTCTTATGTCCATCCACTTTTATATGTAACATTCTTCTTGTAACATGATTATTTTCCATTCGCATAATATTCCATGCCACGCACTTAAGCTTTCAAATATTGTTAGACAACAGTTTGAGTATAAATTTAATTAAAGCGTAACTTCTACTCGAGCACGTTTTGTAGGTGAACATGTCCGGCCTTGACAGTGTCCCGCGCTTCTAGTTAAATATTCACAAGGGCAAACACACCACAATACATATACAATACAATACAACAATCATTCTCACGTTAATTATTCAGAATCACATCGAAAGCTTTCCTTTTTTTAGGATTCCGTACTTACCTCTGTCTGTCTGTCAAGGTTATTTATCTCTGGAACGGGTACGATACAAACGAATTAATATTGCTACTAAATTTATTTAATTTTTTTACAAATAAAATAAGTGTCTACCAATCCTTGGAAGTGTATGAGGCGTGCAATCAAAAATTAGCGCCGTTCATGTCACATATTTTGATATTATCAAACTGCAAACTCATTCATATTGGTCAACTCATATAGAAAATCTAATTTACCTTTTCATTGAAGCAATTGTCAGTGCTAGCTTACTTATAATTAATGAGTTTCAGTAACTTAATTATTTTGGTGAAAGTAGGTCCTTACCTAACTATATACGGAACCCTTAGGGCGCGGAACTACTCGGACGTGTCCAGTTTTTCTAGATACCATGGTATTATTTTAGTTCTTATAATGTAACGTATTTTCCATAGACGGGGTTACCTATTTTTAGAGTACCTACGTGATTTGAGAATCCCCGTTTCGTCTCACTCTCGTCCCCTCATCTGACCGAAACTGGCCCACCGCTGGACATGCGTTTCTATAGGAGAACTAGTGAAGTAACTTGGTATATTAAAAGGTGCGTGTAATAAACAAAAAACATCGTTACATATAGTATAGACAAAAAATTTGTTTACTCTGCGGAAATAAACGATGCCCATAAAAATAACATATATTACATATTATTATGTTTCTGATCAGCTGATCGAAGCTATTCGAGTTCAGTGTCCGTGTGGAACAACATTGGACGCATTTTATCGGGTCGCCATATTTGTAAGCTCGCTCGTAAACGTTCGCGTGAGAATTGATATGGGCTTATTATCGGTGATAAAATTTTCTTATACATATTGAATAAAGATAATATTACAGATTTTTATTGCGTTTAATTTTAACTCGTTTTTAACTCAAAATGCATACAGAGGGGTGTTATATGTTTAACGTCTGTATCTGTATGTCTGTCTCTGTCATCGTAGCTAACAAACAGATGAACCGACGTAGATTTAGTTTTTGTTGTTTGAAAGGTGACTTGATCGACAGTGTTCTTCGCGATGGTTCAAGAAAATCTTTTTGTTACGGGGGTTTTTTTAATTTTCAATTTAAGTTATTAATTTGTTACTTTAAGTGCAATTTTGAGCTCAGTGAACAAGATAACGCGTCTAGACAAATGGCGGAACGTCATTTCATTGTACATGTAGGTACATGTCGCACCTGTATGACGTAATACATCCCACACTCTGTATACAGGTCATATCCAATTATTTCACCAGTCTGCACTAGAATTAGAATCGAATATTAATCAGTGTAAAACCAATATAAAAGCATGTGAAAATTTACTTCCGTTACATTATTCCTGTGAGCTTTCACTACATCAGAAACATGCCGTCTCAAACAGTTTTTGTTATTTTCATATTTACTGTTTTATTGGTTGCTGTATCATCCCAAGGTGAATATGGTCAAGTCTACTGTGGAAGAAGGCTGGCGATGGCTTTGGCTTTCATTTGCGATGACACATCGTTGGTGAAAAGATCAGGAGAGCAGAGAGAAGTATTCAGATGGCCCTGGATAAGCGCGCAGCAGGCGAGGAGCTTGGGCAGGAGTAAGCGGCAGGTGGTCTCCGAGTGCTGTGACAAGCCTTGTACCATCGACGAACTGTTATCGTATTGTTCGTATTCAATACTAAACTAATGAGACATTACACTAAATTTGTCCACACAATACACTTGTTATATACCTTTTAATTATTTATAATAAATTAACAGGCTGATTTATTGTGCTTTTTATTTACAGAATATGTAATTTATTTGTATGTTGGCTTAGAATATTCGTATTCTAAACCATCAGGTAAAAACGCAACTCCATAATATAATTTTTTTCAATACTAAATGATCCATATTCGCATTCCAACCTTAAGGATCGATTTCAGTACCTACCTCTCTTCTTGTTATGATAGGGTTCTTCAATCTTCCTCTAAAAATAAAATTTATATTCCTACTCATTTCACCGAGCTTTATGGTAACTCCTTCAATATTCAATCTGCTCTTATTTGGACTTTCTTGGCCGGTGACATCAGAAAAATGCCTAACAAATACTTCTACAAAAATGTGTTTCGTGGCATCGACTGAGGAATCATTAGATTCTGCGGCTAAATAGTCGTATTTATACTATGTATTAATTTTGTATTTATATATAATATATTATATTAATACAAAATTAAATATATTTGTGTATATTGAAAATTAAGATTAATATATAATATGTATATTTAATATTATATTTATATTATGAATATGTTTACGAATATACATATAAAAACATAATTACTTACAAAATTATATCATAATATATTTTATTACAAACATAATTGCTACACCTTCGTACTGGTGGAAAATGCCTTTATACATCAAGTCTGCTTTTGGTATCCTTTTTATATAGGAATGATATAAAGATTTCAAATAAAAGAAAATAAAATATTCGCAGCAGCCAGCAATCACTTCGCCTAGGACTTTAACTATGCTCTTTAGTTTGGAGCTCTTATTTACTATTGTATGTTATTACTTCATTTTGGAACTGTATGCTAATGATCTAAATTTTTATGCGCAAACCATCCCGTATAAATAATCTAAATTGCTATATACAAAGACTAAACGATAACCTGAAAACAATAAGAGGATGGCCGTATACTCGTAGATATGGCACACTCTATAATGGGATTTTGATTATCGTACTCGTGTAATCCATGACCTAAAAACTTGCTCTTTGAACCTGAGATTGATCTCTGAAATTATCCGTAAGGTTGTTGCCACCTTGAGTTCCCTTTATCGTCTACTAAATTTCCTTCCTCTCAAATTCAAGCTTATGCTATTAAATTTCCTCATTCTACCTATTATCAATTATGCACATCTATACTACCCAGAGCTGTCACAAAATTTTCTAAACGATATGGAGCGCCTTTTTAATAATTCCATTAGGATTAGTTTCGGTTTACGTACTCTTTTCTACCGACTTCAAAAAGAAGGAGATACTCAATTCGACTGTATGTTCTTTTTTATGTGTCTTACCTCATAACTTTTTTCTATTTGAACCGATTTCGATGATTCTTTTTATTTGAAAGCTGGTGCTTCTCATGTGGTCCCATATAAATATTTGATCAAGGTCTGACCAATAGTTTTTGAGTTATGACTAATAACTTATATTGAAGTCGACTGTACATAAATTGCTCGTTATTTGTTAAAAGCATAGTATCAGAATTTACTTTTAATTTATTTCATTTTAAACGATCCAAATTCTTAAGGATATCTTTCATTTACTACATTCAATTAATTTTTGAAATTCACTACAATAAAACATTTCAGGATTAGTATTCTTCGACGCTGTACTCAATTTCCAGGTCCTTTTTATGGTACGGATATATATATATATATATATATATATATATATATATATAGATTATTTATTAGTGAGTGATCAACTAGAATTAGTACATAATTTTAAAAATATTTTTTAATATATATCATGTGTGTGTATACAACTCGAAACACGAGCATTTACCTATTTAGAACAGATCGTCAAGATGATAATTACCGAAATACGTCGTAATTCCAAAGCGGACTTATTAAAAGTCAAATATTTAAATTGCGAAAACAGGGGCGTCTGTAGGCGAAAGAGTTTGCAAATATGTAGAACACAGAATAATCCCTCGCATGAAGGGAAATTTAATGAAGAATTTCTCATTAGGCACTCAGTTTATTCTATGTCGAAAATCAACTTTATTTTTCTACTAGCTTTCAACCGCGACTTCGTCCGCGTAGACTACTTTTAGATCTTTAATAGTGGTCTTTGAACGAGTGGTTAATTATCGAAAAGTCACAGTTTCTTGCCATTAACTATTTTTGATATAGGAAAATGGTTTCAATAGAAATTAAACATCTATTAATAAACATAAAATACGTTTTACTTGATTTCATTTAATATACTTGTCTGTATTAAAATAATAAAAAATATTTAAATAATGTGTTTTTTTTTAATTTCAATATAGATAACACAGGCTTCATTCTGTGATGCATTATTTTCTGATATATTATCTTTTTACTACGGCCAATAATAGTTAACAAATTGTTCGATTCAACAAGAATTAGAAGTAATAAGAAAGAACTAACAAAACTCATTAATGCTGAGCTAGAAAAATATATGTATTAAAAATGTTAGCTTTCTGCATTCCTACATATAAACTTAGTTATGCCAAATTTCACACTACTCCGTACGCGCAATATGCTTAAAAAGGGGTACAATGTTTTCTCTTCACGTATTAATATATATAATTAAGCTGCATTATTTATCACAGTGTCTGGTCATTGTGTGAACGTGGTTGTTGCACAATTAGATGATTTAAGTTAAGGATGCGGGTAGTAAAGAAATAATAAGCCTGGATTTACCTACCTGGGTTAAAAATTATGTTTTACAATAACCTATTGTCCTCTGCATTAGACGTACCATAAACTACTTTCGCTAATATTACTTGATACGTGCTTTCGTATTTTTGTCAAAGTTATTATTATTTTATTATTAAAATTACATTTAATAACATTGTATATTAGGAGTCACAATTATTATTATTATATTAATATTATTACATCAATTACATTAATATTATTTACTAATATATTATAATTTAATATCCTTATACGTTTTATATAAGTTAAAATATTTATGTCAGTAAATCGACATCGATATTTACATTTTGAATTTAGGACAAAGCGTTAAAATAAGGCTTTTAACTGAACCGGAACACAGCATTGCACACAGTGCTATTTAATGGCAGAAATAGGTAAGGATGTGGTTACCTACCCAGGATTCCTAGGCAGAAAATACGTCCTAACGCCCAGAAGGGTATAAAATGAATCGTTACGCTTGTGTTTCTTTTAAAATGTATTTATATCATCAGCATTTCTTCTACACGCGTAAGGATTTTCAAGAATGTGCGATGGGGCATTCGTGTCATTTCTTTACTTCATTGCAAACAATATACATACTTGATGCTCAAACAGTTTTCACCGATGACTCTCACTTTATACTGAAACTTCACTGGCCATTACGATTATGTAAAGTTACAGTAAGAGCTAAGAGTGCTACTGCTCTTCTTCGATGTTCTGTGTCGGTGGGATAGAATAAAAATAACAGTATTATGTCGTCGAATGAAATTCGTTTCTTTATGAATTTTATTATCGCGTTTAATTGACTCATTTTTATATTTCAATCAAACGCTAAACGCAATAAAAAAAACTATGGATTAATGTAATGTGTAGATAATTAAGCATTACCGTTATTTGAAATTATTTCAATATCGAAACGCGTATCCTTAATAATTAAGTTTTGAAGACCTTACCCATAAAAATTACGCCAATTTAAAAAAATATGTACGCACGCAGGAAGTTATACTTCTTTAGCGTAACAAAATAAAAATAACTACCTTAAATATTGTTATCAGTACCCACGAAAACTTGAGAGACAGTTACCCCATGAAGTTGTCGCTTTGAGGTGTCAGTATGCGCGCGCATCGTAACAACTTTATGGTGTCGTTTTTAGCAGTCGGTGTGCGCGCATAATAAAAAAATATTTCCCAAACGCCCCAAAAGAAGTATGAAAAAAATGCTTCAAGTATCTCTCTCTTTTTTAGCTAATTGACAATAGAAAGAGACAGAGAATGAATACTTAGTTAAAATAGTCGATAATTGACGATTATAAGTAAGGCCTTAAGTAATTAAGATACGATAGATCGTTGATTAAATGCAATTATTAGCTTAATGCATGGGTCGTCTATGTTCGGCTTAATTTGACTCCATCGACAACATTTTAAACTTTGACCGGGGCTAATGGATAAGGCATCATTAATTTACTTAAAGCAGGACCCTCGTGAAAGTTGAACCAATGTCGGACATTAGGTTTGCATTTGGTTTGACGCTAGATAAATCAGTAAAATAATATGGAATAGAGAAGTGATGTAAATGCATAATGAATTAATTATATTCATTATGGCATAAACTAAAGTCCACTGCTTAACACATGCCTCTACTATGAATTGCCTTCATAGAGGGGATGTTTGCAATATTTGCTATGCTTGGTGTTGGCGACCGCTGTATATAATATGTTGATTTATATAAATAATTATTTAAAATTACACTACAGTACAATTAAATAGTTTCTTTATAATAATAAAGTGACATCGAGCTTACAATACATTTGATGATGGGTGGCAGCTGAAGCTCATGGATATTTGCAACATAAGTAAAATGAAAACGGCCACAGTCGTTTTGTTAACTCTGAGGTTTCAGATGGAACACCTCACAGTCTGTAGTTATAGCGGCTGTCTTACTCTACAAGCTTGAACACACCACTGTTGCTGGGCGCCAGAAATATATCAATGGGTTATTATACCAAACCAGTAGGGATTTAGAAATAAATATAGTCCAACGTTATAATAATTTTAATACAAATTGTAATAAAAATTAAATAAAAGACTGCGTTAGAATTTTTGGAGCAACTGCTATTGTAGCATATTTTAGCATTTTCTCTTTTGTCATTTAAAATTATTGTTGCTCCTTTGTATTTATTTCTGTTTACAATTTTCCACTGTTCAAATATAATAATATTTATAATTTTGGAAATTCCGACTTTATTAAACTCTTTGT